AAAATCAACTTTTATTGAACTGTCCCTAACCAAAGTCACGTGCCTTGAACTGTCCCTACTGTCCCTAAGAACTGTCCGTAGATCCTCCGTTAAATTAATTAATAAAAAATTTTTATAAAATAGATAGTTTAGTTGTTTCGAAAGGTTAAATCGATTAATTGCCAATTTGACCAACTTTTCGATTAATTGATTTTCAAATCGTATCACATGACAACAATAATAACGATAGGTTTAAAATGTATATATTTTAAATATGACTAAACTATCATGAGCAAAAGATGCTATAAGATAATTATTAAATTTAAATATTGTATTTAAAAATCTTTAAGAATCGTTAATGAAATAGTAAATACAGCAGAATTTTGAAAATAAAACTCTTAGAATTAAATCAAGCACATATAATTTTTTATTAGATATTATGCAGGGTTGTAAAGACCAATTAATACATATACAAAATATAAGGACAATCTTACATATGAGCGATGTTGGTAAGAAAATAACCATTCAAATACTATATTGAAGATGTTATTATTGATAAATTACCGAAATCATTAAATAAAATGGAATCCCCTAAGATAATAAATGGTAAGAAAGAGTAGTTTAAAGTTATTATTCCATTACTAATACTTTTCTTTTTTCTCAGTAACAGTAACGGTTTTAGTTTCGGCCTTGGTCACGGTCTTGTACTCAGGCTTGGTTACGGTCTTGTACTCGGGCTTGGTCACGGTCTTGTACTCAGGCTTGGTTACGGTCTTGTACTCAGGCTTGGTTACGGTCTTAACCTCGACGTTGGTCACGGTCTTGTACTCGGGCTTGGTCACGGTCTTAGTCTCGACCTTGGTCGCAGTCTTGTACTCTACCTCTTTCTTAGTCGTAGCTTTGGTCACGGTCTTGTACTCAGGTTTGACCACAGTTTTGGTCACGATCTTAGTCTCGGGCTTGGTCACGGTCTTGTACTCGGGCTTGACCACAGTCTTGTACTCAGTCTCTTTCTTAGTCGTAGCCTTGGTCACGGTCTTGTACTCGGGCTTGGTTATGGTCTTGTACTCTATCTCTTTCTTAGTCGTAGCCTTGGTCACGGTCTTGTACTCAGGCTTGACCACGGTCTTGTACTCAGTCTCTTTCTTAGTCGTAGCCTTGGTCACGGTCTTGTACTCGGTCTTGTATTCTATCTCTTTCTTAGTCGTAGCCTTGGTCACAGTCTTATACTCTGTCTCTTTCTTAGTAACTGTTTTAGCCACATTTTGGTTTTTCTTCAGGATAAGCACTAACCTAAAAATGACCAAGATTAATTTAATAATCAAATCAATTAAAAAAATAAAAGTTAGTAATTTACTTATTACATACTTGTGGTGTTGCTACAATAGCTAACAAAACTAATATAACCAAAAAGTAAACGTAAAAGGATTTATTGAACATCATTTTCAATTGCAAATATTTTTTTCTCTTTTTGTTTATTAGAAAATTGAATTTTATTATTGTCGTTGGGGATCCCATTTTTCAATATCTTATTTACATACCCTTTATATACTTTTAATTTTTGAGATACTGCATTATTCCCTTATATGATGTATTCTATTTAAATAATTATTAAAAACACGTGCTATCGAAATAATATGCAAATATAGCAAAAGATGAATGAACATCGTAAACTTTACCGCCATTATACCTAAATAACTGTACGCGTAGAATAGTATTCCCGAATAACAATTTTAAAAATGGCGATTTTATAATCATATTAACGTTTGACATAACATTTATGGTAATAGACAACACCGGGAACTCCGCATGGTCCCGCCATTAATTCATTTTTAGTAAGAAATTGACAGGTTCACACCTGTTTAATAACGATATTAATAAAAATTTAATAGCTGAAAAATCTATTAATAGACAATTGCTAAAAAAAAAAATTATTTTTCCGCAAAAAAATAAAGCAAAATATTTGAAAAACATAAAAGATGTCTTAAAAGGTTGCTAATAATTATTGATACTGTTCTCAAGAGAAAGTTCCGCCGTAACCTATAATAAATTACTTCAGCTTTGATTAAATTTGATTTAAAATTGTTCTCAAGAGAAAGTTCCGTCGTAACCTATAATAAATTACTTCAGTTCTGATGAAATTTAATTGAAATTACCGTTATCGAGGAGGTATTAAGTGCAAAGTGCTCTATGAGTAAATGCAAATTCGGATTATTTTAAATTGAATTTACTGCATTTTGGTGTACACATCATAATGATTCCGTTTTATGTACGGTAAAAACAAACCAAGAACTCCGGCTTTCCCTTAGTTAGAAAAAATAAATTTATCCAAAACATGTTTTACAATAGTTGACTTGCCTTTTACGCATAGATGCTGAAACACAATTCCACAACATGCAACGATGTATAGGGTTTACTTGTTTATACTGGTAATACAAACAAAAAATGATAAAATTTTGTAAATAAATTAAGTGCGAAAAGATATAATTTTAGGGTTGCACTACACAGGTAGAACATTAACTTTTCGAAAAATACTCTTTCAAAAATCCTTAGTATGATATGCAATCTTTCTAAATATCTTCCAAACGTCTTCCAATCGTTTAAATTACATGTGAAAGAGATACGGAAGGAATTTAGATAATATTTATTAGTGCGCATTTGCAGAATTAAGTATACAATTCCAAGCATTTGGTCCCAAAATTAAATTTTAGTTACTAAATTATATATTAATCAATCAACATTAAACCCTGAAAAATTTTTGAACCTCTGATCTATACTGATAACGCATCTAGCCCATCTTCTCACTATTAAAATCCATCTTGACTAATCTCATTAGGTATAGAATTTTATAAACAATGGTACACCCTAACCTGGGATGTTTATTAGCACGTTCGAAAATCAGTATTACATATTTATAGTAAAAATTTTTAATTTTAGGGCAAGTAATGTCTTGCACCAAAAATTTTTGAAAGAATGCTTGTAAAAAGTTATTTTTCTACATGCATTAGAAGCCATAATGATATATTATTGCTTATTATGTGTAAAAATTCCACCCGTCATTTTCAATTAGTGTATAAAAATCGATTTAAACTTTAGTTTTTGAGTATTTTCGTTTTTTCTTCGCAATTTTTCGGAATTCATTTCGGTTGATCCGGAACGATCAAATTTTGATATTAATATCACAGATTGGCGGTTTTCTTTTCAAGAATTTGTATTACCGACGCAAATAAGTAAATCCCGATGTACACACGCATTATATAAAAGAATTCTAAATCATGGTAACAATGTCATACTTTTTACGTATAAGTGACGTTATTATTATGGAAAATTAACTTCCTATATTCCTGTCATTCAGAGGTGTTTACATTGCAGAGGCGCATGTACATCATATGATATTCAGATATTTGTTGAAGTACTTTACACAATCATTTAGATACTTTACACAACCATTTAAGTGAGTACAATATAGGAATTTGTGATAGGTAATGGGTCGATGTTTATAATTTTTATTCATAAAAATTCCCAATTTTCAATACAATTTTAACTTTCGGCGAAAATCATTACGATCTTCACATTAAAAACACTCGGATTTTAATAGTGTGACATTGATTTTCAATTTACCTTGTTTGTAAGCCAGATAATCGTGGTTGTAAAGAAATGTTGCACATACTATACACGCATACTGTAACAAACCTACAATTTGTGGAATCGAGAATTTCATCATTCTTCGTAGTTCCCAACCTTTGAAATATAAATTGGCAGTTAGTGTAGCGCTTAAATGTACGTATGTACATACGTATAAAAGATCTTATCAATTATGATCCTTGTTCTTAATAACATGTTAGCGTCTTATAATGCTGTAAAGTATAAAAGCTAAGGAAATAAAAATGTATACCTTTTCTTAATTCGAGCCATCCTCATTCCTTAATTATAATATAACACATAGATCTAATCTACTTATCTCAATAATCTAAGTTAAAATGACAAATGAAATATTTAAATTTAGTAATTAATAAATATTTGTACACTTTCTAAAATCATTATTATTTTTATAGTTTGTGGCTTTGTTGATGCCTCCATTTAGATGGTTTTCTGAATTAGTTGCTAATATCATTAACTAGTTGCTAATAATATCATTAGCTAGTTGCTAATATTATCATTACATGGTTTTTTTTTAGCCAATTTTATTGGTATATCGTTCATTGCGCTTTTGTATATTTTAACTGTATATGGCAGCCTGCCACAGCTTCACCTAAATTATTATTTCATTTGATTAATAGAGAAGAAAACTTAATTAGTGTGATAAACATAGAATAATATTTTTATCCAGCCTCACTTTAGGTCGGAGACGGAAAAACTGATACAGGAAAATATCTGACATTACATTGTATATTTGCAATACTATAGAAATGTTGCTGTAATAAAATACATTCTTATCCGATCTTTAACAAGTGATCACATAACTGATCATCATAGTTTTTCTGGCAGTTAGAGATTATTAAAATATGTTATATTTATGATATCAAGGAAATGTTATTTGAGAAAGGCTGCTCTCAAGCAACTCTCTCGATATTGATCGAGATTCTGCTCAAATTAATTAAATGATCCTTATAACTATTTTATGCGAAATGCGGACTTGTTAGGTCCGGGTTTTTATTGACCGAAATTACTACAATTGATTTATTATTATTTTTTTTTTAGCCAATCAGATAATTTTATTAATCACAAAGCGAGCTTTAGAATAAGGGAAGTGACCATTAGGGAATTATCAGCAAACGCGATAAATGAAAGATGTATTATATCACATTAAATAGCGCTGCTGACGTAGAATTTGGTGTAGATTTTAAATAGAGAACCCTATCTTAGCAAGGAACAAACTAAATTATATCAATTACTTTGCTGAAACCTTCGATTTTTGCTAAATATGTTTACAAGATTGCTACAATATTGCTACAATGTAATTACAA